AATAACATAAGAGTTTTTTTTAAATTCATCCTATACCTCCTAAAAACAAAAAAAAAAGAAATATGGCATGGACTTTCCCTAAAAATTCATTAAAGTCATTAAATTTAAAAATTTGAAACATCTTAAGGGTAATAAAGCTCAAAATTTTGAAAGTTTGTACAATTTTAATGTCTTGGAAACCGTAACAAAAAGTAGTTTTTGACACAAGCGGTACGAAATTTGTCACCTCACATTTCACAGTCATAAAAATCTATTTGCAATGCAATCATCCAAATATTAGTTAGCAAACGTTATGTTAATAAATTAAAAGGTTTTGTGGTTATAGTATTACAGACACATTGAAAACCTTTCTTTGTATACCTATCAAGCTTACGACACATCAAATAAAGTAAAGTTTTATATTACTGTAATGGAGATAAATTTGCAATATCAGTAGCATTTTTAATTTTTAAAGTTGGAGTGGTAATTAAAATGTTGCCTCAAAAACAACTGTTTTATTCAGTGTTACTAATCCTGGTTCTAATTTTGCTCTCACTATTGACCAAAAATAACACCTGTAAAACCTATTTCGATTATATTAACATTTTTACTGGTGACTGTTATTATAATCGTGATATTGATGACAATACTGTAAGATAATTAAAAGAAATTTATTCAACTAATCTATCCAAAAATTAGATACAAATAATTCAACGATACATAGGAGTCTACGAAGAGCACAAACTCCAAACCGACGACGGTTACATTTTGACACTTTTCAGAATTCCGCAAAGAAACCCTAAAGAAATAGTTTTAATGCAACACTCATTTCTCTCCGATTCTAAAATCTGGGTGTCTCAATTTAATGAATCTGTGGCGTTTTTGTTTTGGAGAGCCGGTTTTGACGTCTGGTTGAGTAACTCAAGAGGGACTTTCCACTCCCAGAAACATGTCACTCTAAATATAAGCAATCCATCATTTCTCACCAACTAATCAAAAAACTAGTTTCCATGAAATGGGCTATTATGACCTTTCGGCTCAAATTAAATACATCACACGGGTAACACAAAGGCCTAAAATTGTTTATATGGGATATTCGATGGGAGGTACCATCGGATTGGTCTATGCTAGTACCAAATCAGAAGAAGCAAGTCATTTGGTAAAATTGTTGATTTTGATAGGGCCCTGCTCTCATACTGATCTAACCAAGTCTGTACTAAAAGTTTTAGTTTCACTTTATTGCAAAATTCATGTAAAACAATCGAGTTTTGTTAAGTCGGATTATGAAAACCCAAGTTTTATGATATTTTCAAAACTGAAATTACGGCCAGAGTTGCGCTTTCTGACGCTTGGTACCGGAAAATGTTCAATACGTTTCACTCCATTTTTCCATTTAAAAAATATTTGCCTTTTGTTATTGGCTTCATTCATGGTTGGACTCCAGAAGAAGCAGATCCGGTAAAAAAAAATTTTTTTAATTTAATTTGATCTTTGTTTTTAGAAATTTAGTCACTCGATGGTGGCTAGTATCCAAAGTGAAGTCCCTTTAAAAATGATAGTTCATTATTACCAAATTTACACATCTGGTGGCCAATTCGTAATGTATGACTATAAAGAAACAAAAAATTTGGAATTGTATGGCCAAAAAAATCCCCCTTTATATCCACTCGAAAAAATTAAAGCACCGATTTTTTTGGTTTATAGTGAAAATGATACACTTTCAAGACCAGATGTGAGTTGAGCGAAAAACTAAATTGTATATTTTTTATTTATTTTAGAACAATGAATATTTGTATAGTCTTCTTTCTCACCAAACAAAAATATACGGAAATTTAAAAGTCAAAGGACTCAATCACGCCGATTATGTTTTTGGTCGACATAGAAATGAACGAGTTTATGAGAAAATCCTTGAATTGCTAAAACGAATTTGATTTAATTCGTAATTGTAATTAGGTTAATTTATCCAATTATAGCATTAGCAAAATATGAGAATTGATGCAAGATTTGACCTTTCTTTGACTTACTCTAATTAGTCACTCGCACAAATTTTAATTGTGACGACAAAAACGCGCAAATGCTTAAATAATCATAATTACGATTAAATAACAAGCTTTGTTTTTTGATAATGAGCTTGTTGCTTAATGGCTAAAGTTAATAAATAATTATAGTCTTTTCGTAATTTATTTTTTGCTAAAATATTTAAAACTTGTTTGGTTTTTATGTGGTACAAGATTTTTTTCTACAACAACTGCGTCTATGTAGAAATAATTTAGAAAAAAGAGAAATTTAAAAAAGTGTTATTTATCTTGATAAAAATTTAATGCTGAAACAAAAAGATTGTAAGTATGTCCTCGGATTGAGTTTACAATAGGAAAAAAAAAATTTGATTTTACACCAGAACTGCAAAGGAAAAACATTTTTGCTATTGTAAATCTGAAATCAAAATTGCCTTAATTTATTGAAAAGAAAAGCTCATTTTACTCTTGATTTTGGACTTGTAATTTTTAAATTCCATCACATTGGCGGTTTTATTTTTTTGACAACGATGTCTCTTTGAGAAATAAGTTTACGCAAGTTAAATAACAAAAATGTTTCTGAAAAACTTAATTTTAATAAATGGCAACTCAAACAAACAGCTAAACAGATAGAAAAATTTTTTTACAAGAATTAACATTATTCAGTTAATGAATTAAATGTCAAAATCAAGAGAAAAATTAACTTACTTTTTTTTACACTGAATCAGAATAATAAAGTTTTAGTTACAGATTTTCTAGTTTCAGGTGAAGCAAAAAATGTTTTGCTTTTGCAGTTTTGGCGCAAAATCAAAAAAATTTGTTTTCCTCTTATAAACCCAATCCGGAGACATACTGTATATTTTAAAAATAAAAGTTAAATAGCTATTATTTTACATTAAAAAATGTAGTTATTTAATCAAAAAACCTCAAAAATCTAAGGAAGAAATATCAAAATATTAAATTTTGAAGTCTTGAGACACAATCGGACATTTTCAGATTATCGTAGTTATGAAGAATGTTTGTGAGGTCTTAAATTTTGGAATTTACATGTGTATTTACGAAAACAAGGACTTTAAATAGAGATCAGCAAAACAAAACGAAAATTAGTTGAGATCTTGAGGAAAAATGTTCTAAAAAATATGCAAAATACGGCAAGATCTTAAAACAAGACGATCTTAAAAAAAATTAAAATCTTGTAATGCTGCTAAAAATTTATAAATAAAAGAAACATTTTGAAATAAATTAAAACTTTAAGAAAAAGATAATATAATTCCAAAATTTTAAAATAAAAGTTGGAGTTGATAAAGGAAGATTTTTGAGAAATAGGGTTAACACAGAATCTTTGAAAAAATGTTACTAGATCTTGAAAAGAATTAGAAGTACGAACCAGATCCAGTGTTCTTACGAAATAATAAAGGTTTTCAAAATAAAATCTTATAAAACAAATAAAAAAATTTCGACAAATGCTGTAAAGGTTATATTACAAAGGTGAATCTCTAAAAAAATGTGTTGTAATTCAAATAAAAATTAAACCTGTGGAATTGTATGGTTTTAACTCAAGGTTTAAATATTGGAAGTTGATTTTTATAAAAGCCATATCTTTAACAAAAGTTGATTTGAAGTCAGTATCATTAAACATGTTGCTAGATCTAAAAAAAAAGAAATTCATATCAGTTCCAAAGTTTTCAGATAAAAATCGGTAATTAAATAACATCTTATAAGAACATAATACAAAAACGTGAAAAATAATTTAAAGATCATTTTATAAAAGGTAATATGTACTATTTGTGTATCAAGAGAATAAACAACTAGTTTTATTAATTCCTAAAATGGAGGCATTCGAGGGGTTAAGGTTAACAATATTTATCAGAGATGCATACAAAACTTTTCTCCCAACGAACCAATTTAATAATTGTTATATGTATAGAAGAAAGTGATAATAGGTATTGGAGTTTATTGACAAAAAACTCAAAATCTTCAGTTCATTCGGTTTATTTGTATGTAGCTGTATTTAATGTATCAATTTAAGACAGTTTTCATAAGATCTTATACCTAATGTGTTCAATTTTTAAATCATCAGTATATACTTTTTTTTTTTAGTTTTTATTCTCATCTGAGGATGACCACTTTGTGGTTGAAACGGGTTGTGTTTTAAATAAAAGTTTGGGTTTAATCGTGTTTTTGTTCATTGTATGTGTATGTCATTTATTTTAATTCCTAGGAATTATTAATCAAAAATGAAAAATAAAAGTTCACTTTATTCCCGGTTGGGAGAAAAAACATTAACCAAAAATGTTGTAACTAGAAAAAAACTTGCAAAATTTTAGAATGAGACCGCGTTAATATTGAAGAGAAAAATTTTGATTTAAGAAAAAGGATTCTAAAAAAGTTTAAATCTCAAAATAATCTTTGAACAACATCAAGATAAAAAGATTAGGAGTAGGTTAATTTCATTATCTTGAGAGAAATGATTAAGATTAATTTCTTACCTATGTAATACAATCGATTAATTAATTATTTCATCTTATAATTAATTAAAATACCACTTTCTGTTCAGGAAATTATGTATATTTTATCAAAAAAAAAAATTAATCGGTTTTATGACCAGTGGCTGCTATTAAATTAATTCAATTAAATTTCGACAAACAAAAGTTTTATCTGATTATACTCATAAAACACTGAAATTTCGAATGCAATATTTATTTTTCAAATTCTTATCAGCACAAAATAAATGTCCTTAGTGTTTACATGCAATAAATTAAAATTTCTGTAGCATATTTCATAATTAGTCCTTATCAATTTTTTGATTAAATCCTTTATATTACTGATTCTAGTCTGACCTACCGTACAAATTACCGGTTTCCGATCGTCCACCTGAACCCTCTAATTCCTAGACCATGTGACGTAGGGTTCTAAGCTCTCCAGTCCCCCATTCGAACCTTGAAAATCCCCCTTGTGCTCACTTGGTCGACTGCACTCTCTGGTGGGGGAAGCACCAAATCGAGGGGGCAGCACTCAGTAGCAAGTTACGCCACGGAGTGTGTCCGTCGCATCCTCCATCGTAAACAATTCCATGTGACTAAAGATGACAAGTGATAGGTGAAGTGAAAGTGGCAAAATGTTCAAGCTTTTGGGAGGTTTGAAGGACTATCTCAAGTACCAGGATGTCATCGTCGACAGTGCCGTTTTTCGGATGCACAATTTGTTTACGACGGCGTTGCTGATGGCCTGCAGTTTGATCATAACGGCCTCGCAATATGTAGGAAATCCTATACAGTGTATCGTTGATGGACTCCCGGGGCACGTCGTCAACACCTTCTGCTGGATATCCTCCACGTTTACGATGCCTGATGCTTTCAAACGACAGGTAATCGCCTTTTGGCGCCAAAAATACAGCTTTTTTGAGTTTTTCAATGAGCGATGCTTTCGTCGCGTTCTCAAAAATCAATACCGACGATTCTTGTGCGAGTTCTACGACATCTGCGAAGCACGAAAAATGCTAATTTTGCAAAAACTTGACTAACATATGACTTGTGACCATTTTTTAAAGCAGATGGCGGTTCTAAGGCCGTCATTTCACTTTAAATATAGCCAAAATGCGTTTAAAAATAATTTTACTCTTGTAAGCGTAGCTTTTTTCAAGTTGAATTGAATTATGACTTGTTAAATGAAAAAGAAAGCAAATTGGTTCAACTCGGAGTACTAACAAATGAGATTATTGACTACAATACAGATGAATCACATGGAATAATTGATCATGATTTAATTTGAGTCATTGTTTAAAAAAATATTGATGTTGGATAGTTTAGGGTACTAGAATTTGATTAGGACGATTTGTATGAATCACCTTGTGTCCTCTTTTTGGACAAGTCATTTACATAGTGACAAAATAAATTGTTTCATGTCAGGTTGTCACTGCTTCATTGAATATTTTTGCAAATACAAAAAATGCCATTTGACATAAAAATTTAACGTGTTTTAAACACATCTGAAAACTTTTCAATTTTTTGCTTTTCCAAATTACTATTTTTTTTTAATAATTATGGGTGTAAATACATAACTAGTTTTTCTAATTTTTTTAGCAGCACCTGTGCTTCTATGTTTTTCAGTTTTTGATTTGATTTTGATGTCGAGAGTAAAGGTCACCTAAAAGTTAAATTTTTTTTCTTGTAATCAGGAAATATACAGTGAACGTCAAAATGTAGTATAATCTTATTTATTGAAACTAAAAATATTTTGTTTCGACAAAAATGCTCGAATAGGTCAATTTTCCTTTAAAAAAATACAAAATTCTCAATTTGATTTAAAATTGTATGTTTGTTTTATGTTGATATTATTTGACTTTTTTGGTGTTTTTTTTAGAAAACTTTACGTAATATTTAATATTTTGTTGTTATTTTGTCAATTAAAAGATCTGGCTAAAAAAATTAGGGCATTCCACTAAAAAAAAAGGTAAAAGTGTAAAATTTGAAATCATTGTTTGAGCATTTTTGACAAAACAAAATATTTTCAGTTTTGACAAGATTATTCAATAATTTTGCCGCTTACTGTATTAGAAGTATAGTATTATAAATCATGAAATTATGGCTCGGGGCGTTTTTATAATCTATATACATATAATCAAAAATTGATTTTGCTATTTTGGAACTATTGCCAGATTTTTGACCAAAAATTAAGTAAAAACAAAAAAATAGTTGCTGAAGAGGAGTTCGAAATGTCGACGTAAAAACAATTTTTATAGCCGTTTGTTCCTTTATAAATGAGTTTCTTACGTGAATAAATAACTTAAATATTTCTTAGAATAATTAAAGAAGCATACATATTTTTATTTTTTCCTTGAAATTGTCTCTCTTGAACAATTTGTTTTTTTTTTAAATTTATAAAGTGAGTCACAAAGCAAGCTCTTGCCACGCTTTATTGAGTCCGTGATTATATAGTAGTTTGAATCACAATTTCAAAAGTTTTAAGAAGCAGTCTTATTTTTCTAATTTTTGAGCGGTTTTGGGGCTTTTTGTTAATTAAATCACTGTTTTTTTCTTCAAATTTATTTGCGTTTTGTCGAAATTGCAACTAGGATTATCTCTGAACAATCGATAATCACATTAGAGGATCATACAGGCCCGTAGCTAGAAACAATTTTTAGGTAGGGCGCGCGAAATTTTTAGTGGGGCTAGAACACTACTGCAGTTTTTTCAAAAAAAATCCTCGAACAGGTCGATTTTATTTTTTTAAATGCTGTTTTGGTATTTATTACGTCATTCGTTTTTGAGTTGTGACGTCATTTTTATTTTTTTAAATGACAACTGACATTTTTTTATTCACTCTTTTAAATAGCACACATCTTTATTTTTCTGGTAATAAAAATACAAAAATGATATTAAAACTTAAAAAAAAATAATTCAAAAAAATAGAAAAAATCTAGAAAAATATTGACAATTAACGTAAAAGGATTTATTTTTTTTGTTCTTGCCTTATTTTAAAAGGGGCAATTGTTTGTTGTATATTTTTTTTTAATAATTAGCTTGAAAATACTTAATATGAAACCTAAACACTAAAAAAAAACTAAAACCAAAAAACAATCACCCCTTATAAAATAAAGCAAGAAAGTTTTTTGTATAAAACTTTCCATAACTTTTTTAAGTCTTTTGATTTTATTTTCTTCTTTTTTGCATTTTTTGCTCTATTTTGTTTTTTTTTATTTGACATTAAGAAAAATTAAAATGACGTCATTACTCGAAAACGAATTACGTCATAAATGTGGCTGTAGTGTCAAAATGTAGCATTTAAAGAAATTAAATCGACCTATTCGAGGATTCATAGATTCAGTCTGTATTATAATTTTATGCGTTATTATTTCCAAAGAAAAGACAAAGTTTTAAAGTAAGGCTCAGAATATTCCCCCCTCTAGCTACAGGTCTGAGATCATAGTTCAAAGTTTTTCTACTCTTGTTTTTTTTTCGGCAATATTTTTACTGCTTTTTGAAATAATATTTGTTGCGATTTGAAATTGAAATTTTCAGCACCCTAAGAAATATTTTATTGATAAATCGCCTGTTGGATGCAGAAGTAGCTTAAGTCACAAAATGTAAAATTTAATGTAAATAATAGAGATTGTTGGTTTGAAATTAGTTTAAATATCACTTGGTTATATTTAATCTACATGTGTGTTTTATTGTATTAGTTGTAGAAACCAAACATTATATTCAACAAAAAACTGGACTTAGGATTCTTATTTGACAAAACCGGCAAAAATGGACTTCTGTATCCAACAAGCGAAATATTCCTTGACAAGCTTTCTGTTAAACCTGAAGACGAGAAAACAGTGTACAGATTTCTAAAAAAGGAAGTAGACCCATTTAGGAATCAAACTGTTATTATTTATTTATTTATTATTCGTGCATGGGCAGATGAGCTGTAGGTAAAATATTACACTAGTAAATCTGTTATGGACAGTTTTATAGTCAAGGTTGAACTATTTATGACTGCTTATCATCACAAACAACATATTATTACATTATTGTGATACAGCGTCCTCTTCGAATCATCCAAACAAAAAAATCAAATAAAGATTGCTAAATCTTTACAGAATCTCAAGTATTGTTAACTCAAACAATAGGAAGACGAAATGTTGCTCTTATCGTCATTGTTGTAACTGGAATTCAAACCAACGCGGTGAAAGGCAGTAAGCAGGTCGAAGCTTGACCTCGCCGGATTTTGATGAAAAATCGCCCAACTTTCACACAATAAATTGTAAAATCGAATCTCCCGGATCTCTGCTTGATATATTTTGCCCCGGAGGGGCGACCCGGGGCCCCACATCTGTAATTTAAGCTCGCCACATAATGACAGCCCACAATTTCTTTCCCTTGCAATAATTACAGCGTTCCGTTTTTTCCTCAGGTCGGTCGAGAAGTTGCCCATCCTGGTGTTGCTAACGACTTCGGCGCCGAAGACGCTAAGAAATACTACACCTACTACCAATGGGTCTGCTTCGTCTTGTTCTTCCAGGTAAGAATTACAAGTCTAGTAGAAGCAGCACTAATTTTTTTTACCAGGCTTTGGCTTGCTACGTGCCCAAAGTCTTGTGGGATGTCTTCGAAGGGGGCCTCATGAAAACGCTGAGTATGAGACTGAAATTCGGGATTTGTCACGAAGATGAGAAAAATGCCAAGAAGGAGGTCATTTTTGACTACCTCCTAACACATGTTAGAGTAAGTGCTAAAAATTTCGAAAACACTATTAAAAGTTTTTCAATTTTATTTGACTTAAGTCAGACATGTGATAAGTGGTTTGCAAATTGCAGGCTTGTCGTAAACGCATGCAGGAGTAAAGATTGTAATTTGTTTCTGATTACAAGGTTGGTAACGATACCGAAATGAATTTTAAATTAAAAGAGATAAATGTTTTCGTTCCACCCTGTATTTTGTCGAAGGCCAAGGCCGGTTAGCAAAAATGGTGTAAGAGGTCAAAGATTATTAAATTAACTAAGCAAGTACCTGAGTTCAAAGGTCAAGATTAAATTTTTGTATTATGCAATAGTTTAAACCAAGAAACTGACTCCAAATCGGATTAATGTATGCAAGTGGCGTAAATCATCAAAGTAATACGTAGGGAGCGTTTGCAAGTTGCGTGAGCAAATGTTTGAATAAATCATGATAAAATAAATAGTTGTGAGAAATTGTTGTTTCATTTATTTTGATTGGCATTTAACAATTAAAACGCCTTGGAAGTGTAATGAATGCACGCAGATTCGCGTTATTTATGTGTCTAAAGTGCGGGAAAAATCATAATAAGATGTGGGTCGAACATTTGATTGGAAAATTTTACAGTTAGTTTGAATTTGTGATAATTTTATCAGTGGTAAACTGTAAAACGTGACTAGTGTTACTTTAGCCTTTGACGTTAATTGGAAAAAATATGTTTAAACACGTAATTAAAATTTTAAGGTTTGATAACACTCTGCTCTATCGTGATGTTTTTTCAAAAAAAAAAAGAAATAAATCAAACTTAATTGACAACACATTTGAAGGAAATTTTAGAATTTCAAAACACAAAGTGAAAGAGATCTAAGAGCTTTTCTGACAATCTTAAGATGTAGAATTCTTTAAAAATTTTAATATCAAAGAAGTAATGTATTTTTTAGATCTTCAAACAAATTTCATGATATTAGAACAGAAAAACTGTTAAGTTTGTAATTTAGAAACTTAGGACCTAGAACTTTATCTATAAATAAATTTAGAATCTTAGAAGATTGGATATCACAATATAAAAAATTTGAAATACTTAAAAGAGCTGCTTGAATGGTTAGAATCAAAGTTGTAAAATCTACAATCCAGAATAATAAGACTAAATATTTTAAAATACTTGAAATTCTAGAAGTTAATGAAATTTTAGTATATTCAAATGAAATATAAAATTTTAAAACTTACGATTAAAAAAATTATATGTCAAAACATGTAATTAAAATTTTAAGATTAACTTAATTAAAAATACATTTGAAGGGAAATTTAGAATTTTGAACCACAAAAGTAAAAGGTATCTCAGAGATTTTCTAACAGTCTTAAGATGTAGAATTCAAAGGATCAAAGAAGTAATGTATGTAAAATCTTTGAACATAATGTTAGAACAAAAAAACTTTTAAAATTGAAACTTAGAAACCTAGAACCTAACAACTATCTATAAATAAAAATGGAAAAATTTAGAATCTTACAAGATTGGATATCGCAATATAAAAAATTAGGAACATTGATTCATTAAATACTTAAATTTAGAGAA